TTAAATAAAGGCACCTTCAGTTTTGAGAATTTGGTTCCAGAAGCTCCATAAGGGAGACGAAAAACCTCATTTATTGAAAGGGAAGATGTATAAAGGTAGAGTGAGGGTTTCACATCTGGGACAGGAAAAATACAAAGTGAGCCAGGAACAACTTATGCCAGAAAGCAAGGAAGCACTCACACACTGAGCTGAAAGGGCTCCCACAGGCCAAATATGGAACATCTTGTGCATCACAAAGATTGTAATTGTTGGTAGAACACAATAAATTAAAAACCATGAGTTCATGATGATACTAAAAGAGAGAAAAGGAAAATTCATTTACCACCATTAAAGCTGACCATCTCCCTTCTTAGAAAAGTGTTGAAAGAATTAAGAAATTCTCTTTTTAGTAGAAATTATCATTTATTCCAAAGTGATGAGAAAAATCTTCATTGAAGACTGAAAACCAATCTAAAACCAATGTAAAAAGGACTAGTACAATTAGATATCACCATTTTGTAACAACCAGTGAATTAACTGATTCAGGCAAGGACCATCCTTTTAAAGGATGCAGGAGAAGTATTAACAGTATGGTGCCAGAGGGGCACCTCTCTACAGATTACTTGCTAATTACAAAGTGAAAAACATCTTTACCATGAAGAGATCTGTTATTTATCACCTGAAACACAAATGATCAAACTTAACATTATTCATTACAGGGCTATGACATTAATGTATTTCCTAATATGATGCCATGAGGAACAGAACAACATCTGAGAAGTATTTTTTACCAAAAATGTTTAATGATAATGTAATCAAGCCTTTAGTCTTAATACCAGTTCATAGGTAACACAGGGATAAAGAAATTAAACAGTTAAGAAACAACTGGAAAATTCCAGAAGTGGTATATGCTACAACATAAATGATCTTGTTTCTTAAAGACAACAACAAAAAAACCCATGTTGTGTGGTTTCTAAACTTTTCTGTATTTTTAAGACTAGAGAGACATGTTTGAAAGAAAATAAATAAACAGCTAAAAAAAAAAAAAAGTGTCATGTTCAAGGCAACTGGGAAAAATCTGAAAGAAACTGAATATCAGCATTACTATTAACTGCCTGAACTGTAACAAGTACTGTAAGGACAATTAAATAGAACAATGTATTTCAAGGAGATACATCTAAAGTATTTAAGTTTAAAGTCATGATATCTGCAGTACAAAAATGTACATATTATGTATCTAAACACATATGTACATATATAGATAGATACAGCAAGTATAGCAGAAATGTGAACAACAGCTAAATCAAAGTGATGGGCATAAAGATGTTATCTATACTATTCTTTCCATTTTTCTGTATATTTAATTTTTACTTAAACAGTTGTAGAAAAAAAGGGTAAAAAGGTTCAAAATGCACTTCTTCCAATAAGTCCTCCTGAGCAAATTCTCCTATACCTTTGATCACTTCCTTGCAAGATTGTTTCAGCACAAAGTCCAATATAATCCTATTCACATCCTATTTTCTAACTGTCCTCTTATATTTCATATATTCAGTAGATCTGGTTTCCTAGTAAGACTATAAGTTCCAAACACAGACATCTTTTCATTCTTTTCTATTTCTTCATGGCTTATACTGAAGTAATCTGTAATCAGCAGACTTTTAAAAGTGCAAATACCAACATTCTACCTGGGACAGTAGGCACTCAGTAAAGCACCTTAACTAACTGGTTCTTCAAGAGAACAGCAATTCATTTGGATAATCAATCTCACATCACAGCTATCAAAAGGATATCACAAAACATCACTTACAGCTTTAAGAGTTTCACATAAAGAAACTAGCATCTGTATACAACTAGACATATGATAAATTGTGCTCTATATGTGTAATATGAATTGTAATGCATTGTGCTATCATATATAACAAATTAGAATAAAAAATAATAAAAAAAAGAAACTAGCATCTAAGAGTTAAGAGAAGAAATTAGATTACAGGTCTTATATGCCTCCCTAGCACTGTCAAGGATGTGGCAGTTATCCAGATACATGGCCTCATTCTCATGGCATTATTTTTCAGTTGCACAATTTCTTCTACCATCCTTGATCTTTACAACAGTGACTGTGGGCTGGTGTTGTAGCTCAGTGGTACAGCACTTGCCTTGCACACATGAGGCCCTGGGTTTGATCCTCAGCACCACATAAAATAAATAAATAAACAAACAAACAAATAAATAAAAATATTGTGTCCATCTACAACTAAAAAAAAAATTTAAAAAAGAAAAAAACAGTGACTGTATTTGTTCACAACTCCTTTGTGTAATGAAGCATAACAAGCTACATAATTAACTTTAAAATCATAAAGAATGCACAAAAGATTAAAAATTTTGATAACACAGTACTGGTGAGGAAACAGGCAGACTTGCACTGTTGCACATACAACCTCTATAGAAAGCAATTTAGCAATATCTAAGGTTAAAAATGCACACACACATTGATCTATCACTTCTCTAGGAATTTAATCAAATATCCAAGTACATATAAAAAATTAATTGTAGCTCTAGAAATAAATGTCCAATAGTAAGAATTGGCTGAAATACCTCTATAAAAATGCAATACCTGTCATCTTTCAAAAACAAGGAGATACTGCATATACTGTATGAAACGATCACCAAGACAAATCTAAGTGAAAAGGAAAATTTCAGAATAACAGGTACAGTATCTATCATTGTGTAAAACAAAAACCAACCAACCAACCAACCAACCAAAGTACAGGCATATGTACTTATAAACTGCATAGACTCTCTCTGGAAGGATAAACAAGATACTGACTATGGGGAGGGTCACTAGATGGACAGGAGGATGGCGCTAAAAAGCTTTTCACTCTCTTTGTGTACTTTCTGAATTTTATTTCATATATATGTACATGTATTACCCATATTGTTTTAAAGAGTGATTTTTTTAAACAAGGCTCTACACCAATACAAATTACTTAACAATACTTATCTTAATCCTAAAAGCATTTCATGCCTTTGTACCATCAAAGTTTAAACAAAGCTTCAATGAATTCAACTAGATGAAACGTTTCCAGATAAGAACAAAGCATCCCAGATGACAGAAGCCTACTGAGAAGACAGAATTTATTACCTCACTTCTAGATTTTGCCAGAACCTTGATCCAAGTCTGGATCATGGGTGACATTAAGTATTTCCAACTACAAAACTAGTCACTATACAGACTGCTCCAAAAGGAGAAATCATCAAAGTACCAAATGGATACCAACTACTCGGATCCTAAGTGTGGGGCTGTCACAATAACATATACTTCTCAGCATGAGGGGAAAAAAGGTGAGTCTCTAGCTCTTTCCCAGCACATAGAATGATATATGTACCCCAAATCCCTTGTAGTTTCTCTTATTTCATCTCTTGGCTCCAACAGTAATATGGCAACAGGAAATTTCACAAAAGACAGCTGAACCACATAAGACCAGGGTTAAATGGGGAAGTGGAAAAAAAAAACACACACACATACATTACATATTTATACACACATACATACTTTAAGGCCTCAAAACACGAGATCCTAGATTTAAGAATGGGGAGACTTTGAGAAAAGAATATTAAAGGAAAAGACTAGAAAGGCTTACTTTCCATTTCCATTTATCCACTTAGGAGACAAGTTTGGCAGGATAACTGAAAAACAGAAAATGTCCCTTCCTTCCCCTTTGTGCTCCCCCCACAATTTAGCTATTCATTTCAACACTCTTCGGCAAAGTCTTCTGCTAAGAAAGAGTTTATCTTTTCCTTCTGATGGCAGAGGTAAGATGCAGCCAACTATCCAAGAAAGTCATAACACAGGAGCAAATTAAAGGACCAAATATAACAAGCCAACTGAAACCCAGGTCCTAGTTCACTGGAACATTATTGTACCTTAAAATTCTTTATTTTAAATTGTTTTTGTGATTTTCCAATGAGAAAGAAAACATCTTACTCATTATTTAAAATTAAAATTTTCACTGGACAAATTATTGTTCATCAAGTGTTTCAGACTGTCTTTGTTTTCATGTGATGGTCACAGGGCATTAATAATGTACAGCTAAAACAAAAGCTCTAAGGAAGATCTTTGACCCAAAAAAAAGAGGCAAACAGGTCACACAAAGTAGGAGGCCTGGTAACTGAGAATCCTTAAGTCTTGATTTACATTAACCTAAGCTTTTGTGCGTGCTCTTCAGCCCTTCCTTACCTAGTTCTGTGAGGGTAATTAAGAATTTTACTAAAAGGAATTCCCCCTCCATTTCTTTTAGCAAAGCTATCAAAATCCCCCGCCAGAATAAATGGGTTGGGACACCTACTCCTAAATTTAGGGAAAGTTTACACTAAAGATACAACATGAGTAGAGGAAAAGTAATCTTAGAACCAGAAGTTGCAGTGGTAGTTTCAAAGGAAGGGTCAGCATGGGTCATATTGGCTGTGGGCGGCGTGGTAGTCTGGGAGTCTCTAGGGCAACACCAGATGCGAATAGTGCTTTGTCCTTAAGCCACTCACATAATTTAAATTCTCCCTCTCAGATACTAGCAACAGGCTCACTATTGGGCAGCAAGTCTAGCCCATTGCCTGGGAAGAAGGCGGGCGCGTGGTGAAGGGGCTCTTTATCCCGCAGGTCCCTGCAACACAGTCATGCGCATGCGCCCCAAGGGCAGCGAACAGGCACCCCGAGCTCGTTCACACTCGCGCATGCGCAATCACCCATCTCGCCGCAGGCGACAGCTCACTATTTGGCAAGGGGGATGGGGCTGGGAAATGATGGGGGGGCTGAAGGCAGGGGGCGCGTTTGTGTCTTCTGAATGCTTGGGATAGGGAGAACAGACGGTTGACTAGGTGCTGGTATTCATAGGCCAAGTAACCAAGGAGTAGGAAATGGGGCAGATAATATGTGTGTGGGGGAGTAATGGGGTTAGTCACGTCTTAAGGGAGGCGCCCCCCCACCCGGCAGGATAACCCCCTCCCTCGACACTCCTCCCCCCACTCACCTGAGAGCGGCGGCGACAGCTGCTGGTCCCCGTCCCCCTGCGCTCGCCTCATACTGTCCGCAACATCCGGGACCTGCGGGACCGCCGATACACAAATACACACACTCCGAGCGCGCGCACTCACACACACACACACACACACACACCACACTCACACACACACCACACACACCACACTCACACACACACACACACACCGACACACACCGGCCGGAGCGTCCTGGCGTCAGCACGTCGACGCAGCGAGCGCGTACCCGCCGGGCCCCACCCCACGCGGCCTCCTCCCCTCTGTTCCCCTCCCCTCCTCTTCCTCCTCTCCCTCTCCTCCCTCCCCTCCCTGGGCTCTCCTGCCCCTCCTCTCTCTTCCTCAAGACTCCGCCTACCTTCCCTGGTGCGCATGCGTCCCGGGGCCTCGCCAGGGCACGGGAATTTAAGGAGAAGGTGGGGCCTGAGTAGAAAGAGGCGGGAACTTGGAGGGGGTCGCGTGTAAGGTGCAGGAGGCCGCGCGGAGGTGCGAGGACCCGATGGAAGAGCACCAAGTCGAGGGATGGAGTGGGCGATATAATATTAAAGGCATTTCACAATGAAAACCTATGTTTGAAAGCAGTTTATGGACTACCAATGACTTTTACATGTATTCACTCATTTTTTTTTTAAACCAACTCAGTAAAATATTTTTTGGACTTTATCTCAATGATAGAGACTTTTAAAAATATCTTTTAAAATTTAGCATTTCGAAACAAAACCAAGTAGGACCGTTCTTTCTGGGGAAGGCAGGGTATGTAGGTGGCCTAACTAACTGAAAGGAAGTTGATTCAGTTGACATTTGTGGTCTTGGACACCTGGATCCCCAGTTTGCCTCACATTTTAGCTCCCAAGGACCATCACTAATTCCTGGGTTGAGTAAAAGAAAGTCTCGCAGCATCTTGGCCCTGCAAGGGGGAAAAATAATCTCTGTATGGGAGTAATAATGTCAGTAATGGGATATATTTTATTGCTATGATTCTTTTCCTTAGCTTAAATCTTAAAAAATTATTCTTACTGAATCAAACCAAATAATCCTGCATTGCCTCTTCTGTACTGAGATAGTATCATAACACACACACACACACTCTCTCTCTCTCTCTCTCTCTCTCTCTCTCCCAGAGCATAGGATGAAAGAGATCAACCTGTGGTCGTTGGGTAACAGTGTGGGCCCTGTCTGGGGAACAACTTCTGGGAGTCCTGCTGCCTTTCAGGCCTATGGGAGAGTCTCCAGGAGACAGTGCTTGCTGTCTCCTGCCACATGCGTGCTGGCATCAGTTGGCTGGTGAGCCTGTTCAGCAGGGAAGGCTGGCAGCCCAGGAGCAAAGCCACAGGAGTTTGGAGAGAAACCTCTAATAGTGCCAGGCTGTCTTTTACTTTTAGCTACAAAAGTAGACCCAGTAATCCCACATCTTAAAACTTCCTAGGAATCATGGACAAAATACTCCAAACTCCTAGAGCTTACACAAACCTCATTTCAGCCAAAATGATCCAAAAGATGGAGATCTCAAATTCTACAATGATGTGGTTAGTGTTCTGCTCCACTTCAAAACAAAGAGAGTTTTTGTCATGTGTATTAGGCTGACACTTGAAACTTTTCAATTAGATTACACTAATCTTATTAATTTTTTTAAGATTTCATTTATCATTATCAACAAACATTCATTCATTCCTCTAGCTAAAGCCAGAAAAGTTTTTGGTCCCTGTGAAAATTCAGAAAGGCCCAGAGGTAACTCAGTAATAACCAGTTACAATTGGCTTCTCATGTCACTGAGACTGTTCAGTTACCTATACTCTTAACCAGAGATCACAGGGAGGCAGGGAAGAAAGAAAAGGGTAGTCCTTGGAGAAAGGAGCATGGTGGTGGGTATCAATGCAGAAAGAGGTAAAATGAAAACACTGACAACCTGCTTTAGCTTTCTCACAATTGAAACGAATCCCTGAAGCCTAGTCAGGCTCTGCCCAGGATCTGGGAGGGGCTCCTCAGGACAAGTGAGTTCATGCCAGCAGCTTATCCAGGCTGGGCCTGAATCCCCAGTGATATGGAAGAACACTATTCACATCTATAGCTCCTGTCCCCATCTGGAAGAGGTCCTTATCCCCATCTGTAGCTCCATGCCATGAGGCTCCCATTCTACTGAAGGGACCATACCGCCCACCTGAGATATGATCCTACCAGCCTCTGTACAAAGGACTTTGATTTGGTGTGGAGCTGATTAAACGATTGTAGATGTCCTTGGAAGCACTATGTGGAAGAATTTTAAACAGCTTCTCCTTTTTAATATGCACTTCCTCTTCGGTTTTAATTATTTTGTTCCTACATTTTCCCTTTCAATTTACTAAAATCTAGAAATGTAATTAGAGCAGAGGCCGGGCTCAGAGAAAGCTGCCAGGATTTCTACAGCATGATTAAATATACCAGGCATCCCTTTAGTGTGGGCTGAAAAAATAGGATTCTCATTATTATCTTTTCCTTATCCAGGAAAGAATCGGCACCATGTACAGATACAGATTTATTGAAAATGCAGCACTAATTAAAAACTCACCCAGTCTCTTGACGAGGGTAAAAAAAGTGCAGTTATTTAATTATTTCCTCCATTTAATGTTTTGTTGTTGTAACCACAATAAGCAAGAAGCCCTCCTTGCTCCTCTTTCCTCAAAATAAAATTCTTTTCTCCTCATGAGGGACTTAATGAGGCTTTTATCTATGCAACAACAATCAAGCTTACAATGGCACCAATTCAATTCGCTGCTTCTTGTGATGGTAGGAAACATGCAGAACTCATTTTCTTAATCCAAAACACAAACAACGAAGTGTTCATTGGCCTGTCGTGAGCCAGGTCTGGGCAAGGGATCTGTCCCCAAAGACCCTGAAATGTCTGGTATTTATTTATTCTGCCAACAAGGATCTTTTGCTCCATTTTACAGTCTAGTAAGTTAAGGCATGGTTCTTCTGGGAGCTACAGGGGAGGAAGAGGCAAACAGAATGGCACAGAAGATAAGTACAAACTCCGATTTTGGTTGTAAGCTCTTTAGGAAGATAAGTCTTTCTGTCTGTACTGTTCTTCCTTGACCAGTCAATGGCCAACTTTCAATTGGTGCCTGCTCCAGTAACTGCTATGGTGGACTTTGGAGTTGGATATACGGGAAGGAAGACCTCAGTAGGGATATAGTCCAGACACCCGGCCTAAAGGAAAAAAGTCAAATGACATACCCAGGGACAGATATAAGACCACACAAAAAGAAAGAACAAGAATACACCTACCGATGAAGCTGTATGAGGGCCACAGTGGGGTTAATAGAAAATTGGCAGATTGATTAAATTTCATAGTGGAGCTGTGGATTAATTAATGAACAGTTTTCTTCTCTGGAGAGTCAAGTTCATCCCAGCACTACCACTGTAATGTAAACTTGGACAAACTTCTTCGGGACTTAGTTTTTCCACTGAAACAATGGAAACAATTCCCACCTTATCACCTTGGCGTGAGGATGTACTAAAATAATATTTGAAAACAGCATGGTCCCTGGCATAGAGGAGACCCACTTATTTATGGATGTGTCATTGTATGTGGATTTTAGGGGTAAATGTTCATAAACTTACTGGTATTCAATTCCTACTGTACACCATGCTAATTCCTTGTCTCTGTGCTATTTTTTAAGAATTTTTTCACAATACCTTTTTTCTTTTTTCTATTTATTTATTTTTATATGGTGGTAAGGATCCAACCCAGGGCCTTGCACGTGCTACTGCTGAGCTGCAGCCCCAGCCCTCTCTGTGCTTTCTTTAGAATTCTCCAGGGAAGCTGGAGTCAAGGAAAACAGAAGACTTCTCAGTCAGAACACTTTCTCTTGCTATGATTCCTGAATGAGCAAGCTCTTCAACCTTGGAGCCAATTTCCTCATGCATCAGTCAGGGATCCTGGTTGCAAGAACTGCACCAACTCTGGTTATATCAACCAGAATTGGAATTTACCAAAGAAATACTGTACTGCTGACTCCCAAGATTGACAGGAGTTAAAGGGACAGGCTTGGAAATTCAGCTGTGAGCAAAGGGTTTGTAGAGGAAGAAAAACAACCTTTTCTTAGATGGACAGGAGAGGTCCAACTGTTGGGCACTGCCACAAAGTGCCACCATCAGACATATCACCACTGCTTCAAAGTATGTCTACTCTTTTCTCCATCTTTGTGCCTCATATGCAGCAGCACCCTGTTGGCTAATCCTGGACCCTGTCCATTTCAGGGAAAGGTCTCACTTCTATGGTATCCTTGGTGGTGTCCACAGTGTGATATTCAGCCTTCCTTCTCATTGATGCTATCTACAGCAGGGGATTCGTCCCAAACAGAAAGTGGGTCAGATGCTGGACCACCAATCCCCTTATGTAATCAGTAAAATGGGCCATTTATCATCAGGCAGTAAATAGCATTTAATGACACATTTATTCAAAAGAACCTGGCATATAAAAAGCATTCTGTCATTTTATTTTTCTCTTCAATAAAACAAAAGGTTTGAAATGTACTTACCCAAAGATTTGATCAATGTGCTTACAGACGTTGATGTTCTGATTTTTTGACCTGGGGAAATGCTGGGAAACACGATCGCTGAAGGATGGAGCTGCAGGCAAAGCAGCAGAGCAGGAGAGCACAAGAAATGGCAAGTTTAAATCCTAGCTTTTGATTGTTGTCTTGGACTGGCAATGCAACTCCATCTCCATCTCATTCACCTTTAAAACTGGTCTAAAAATTATCTGAAGTCATACTTCAAAATAAGTTTTAGAAGGTTAATATTTGTTTTCAACAAAGAATATCTTATCAAGAAGAGATTGTATTCACTGTTGTGAATTATTTTCAGTAGTTGTTTTTTGGTCCTTTTTGGAAAGGGATTGATTCCCCACCTATTGGCATTTGCCCCCAAATAACATTTACCTAATTGTAGATAATTAGTTTAGCAAAAAACAAAATTTTTTTCTGCCTCCACTCAAATAGGAATTACCTTGGATTTTACAATTTTAGATTTCTTTGCCATGATTCTACTCTATCAGGTTGAATTGTTTTCAATTGAAAGTTTACTCTATGTTAGAATCCTATTTTTAAAAAGGAATTTAATCTAAAATTCAATTATGGAAGATGTCTGCCAAAGTGAAAAGTCAACTAGCACTTACTGAATGCTCCCTGGGTACAG